ACAGACAGGTCGCAGGTTCGAATCCGGGGAGAGGCTGATGAGCTCCCTCTATCAGCTCCAGCTCCTCATGCGGGGACATGAGAGAAGCCTCCCACAAGGATGATAAAAACATCAAATCATCCGGGCGTCCCCATGGCAACGTCCTTGCAGACGGCCAATTCTCTCACACCAGAAGCGAATTGCACTTTCTCAAGTCGCTCCTGACACGACCAAGAAATTAAAAAAAATACCACACCACCAGCGATTGCAAGGCGCATCCTCCTCCTGTTGGGACCATCACAAATACATAAAATACGCCTGCGATTCTAAGATACCCCATTTTTAAAACTATAATAATAACAATAATGTATTTCTTCAATTCGAAGAAATTGAAGAAATATATTATTGTTATTATTATAGTCCAGCTATCTATCTATCTATCATCTATCTATCTATCTATCTATCTATCTATCTATCTATCTATCTATCTATCATCTATCATCTATCTATCTATCTATCATCTATCTATCATCTATCTATCATCTATCTATCTATCTATCTATCTATCTATCTATCTATCATCTATCTATCATCTATCTATCTATCTATCTATCATCTATCTATCTACCATCTGTCTATCTATCTATCTATCTATCTATCTATCTATCTATCATCTATCTATCTATCTATCTATCATCTATCTATCTATCTATCTTGGTATCTTGCTTTTCAGGCCTGTTTCTGGGGTTATTTGGGGTCCCCGATTCAGGAAGCTGCCTTGGATAGACCACATCTGCTGTAGTTTCGTAGATATGGTTCTCCTGGGCGATGCCCTGTGTTGTGTATCTCACAAACACGAGCTGATAAGGCTGGAAGGGGTGCCGTTTTTGAAATCGGCCCCACAAATAGACCCAGGAGCAGGGCTAACACTTGAAGCACCAAAATGTGTGTTGGCGTGGCCATATTGTTGTAAGTACAATCTTCTATATAAATAAAAATGTAATGTTCGTTTGTGGGATTAACATAACTCAAAAACCACTGGGGGGATAGACACCAAATTTGGACACAAGACACCTAACAGCTCAATGATGTCCTTCACTCATAAAAACACTGAAAAACCAACAGAAGGAACTTAAAAAGCCCCAAAAAGCTAAATGAGAATACAGTAAAGGAGAAGAAAGAGGGAGGGAGGGAAAAAAAGAAAGAAAAGAAAGAAAGAAAGAAAGAAAGAAAGAAAGAGATAAGAAAGGAAAGAAGGGAAAGAAAGAAGGAAAGGGAGAAGGAAGCATGGAAGGAAAGAGAGAAGAGGAAGAGGTAGAGAAAAAGAAAGGAGAGAAAGAGGGGGGAAAGAAAAAGGGTGAAAGAAGGAAAGAGAGAAGGAAAGAAAAAAGGGAGTGAAGGGGGAAGATGTAGAGAAAGAGGGAAGGAAGGAAAGAAGGAAAGAGAGAAGGAAGAAAAGAGAGACCGTGGAAGAGAAAGAAAAAGGGGGAAGGAAGGAAAGTTAGAGAAAGAAGGAAGGCGAGAAGGAAAGAAAAAAGGGAGCGAAGGAAGGGGGGAAGATGTAGAGAAAGAGGGAGGGAAGGAAAGAAGGAAAGAGAGAAGGAAGAAAAGAGAGACAGCAGAAGAGAAAGAAAAGGGGGAAGGAAGGAAAGAGATAGAGAAGGAAGGAAGAAGAGAAGGAAAGACGGGAAGGAAGGAAGGAAAGAGAGAGTGAAATAAGGAGGGAAAGAAGGAGAGAAAGAGGGAAGGTTGGCCACAGCAACGCGTGGCGGGTACAGCTAGTGTGATATATAATATTAATATTGTGCTATGATAATAATCGAATATATTGTATTTAGTTTTTACTTGTAAGCCGATCTGAGTCCCCTTCGGGGTGAGAAGGGCGGCATATAAATGTCGTAAACAAACAAACACACAAACAAAGAAACAAACAAACTTGGGTTGCTGGGAAAGCTACAAAACAGCGAAGGCCCACCCTTTCCTGAGGGAGGAGAGGGAGGCATGCGGCGGAGAAACCTGACTCAGTGTTTCTCCTTGCCTTCAAAAAGATTCGGAATGAAAGTCTTACGAGACCCCCCCCCCCCCACACAAACCGTATTGGCTCTCCCTCCCCGAAGGAAGCTTCCCTCCTCGCGAGTAGAAGTGTCCCGCTCGGAACCACCACCTTTTGCTTCGTGTGAAGCGACAAACACGTGTCGGCTCGGCCGGAGCGAGGAAAGCCGTCCCAAATAGCCCGGTCTCCTTCCTTCCTTTCCTGGGCAAAAACACACACTCTCTCTCTTCGCTTCGGGAAGGCTTTCTTTTGGAAAGGGGGCCCCGCCTGGTCCTGACTTCTCCACGCAAGGATCCCTTAGAAAGAAGAATCATAATCATAATAATAATATAATTATATAAATAAAAATGTAATGTTCGTTTGTGGGATTAACAGAACTCAAAAACCACTGGACGAATTGACACCAAATTTGGACACAAGACACCTAACAACCCAATGTATGCCCTTCACTCAAAAAAATTGATTTTGTCATTTGGGATTTGTAGTTGCTGGGATTTATAGTTCACCTACAATCAAAGAGCATTCTGAACCCCACCAATGATGGAAATGAACTAAACTTGGCACACAGAACCATGATCAACAGAAAACACTACAAGAGTTTGGTGGGCATTGACGTTGAGTTTGGGAGTTGTAGTTCACCTACATCCAGATATCACAATGATGGATCTGGACCAAACTCTACACGAATACTCAATATGCCCAAATGTGAACACTGGTGGAGTTTGGAGAAAATAGAATCTTGACATTTGGGAGTTGTAGTTGCTGGGATTTATAGTTCACCTACAATCGCAGAGCATTCTGAACCCCACCCATGACAGAACTGGGCCAAACCTTCCACACAGAACCCCCATGTGGGCCACAGCAATGCGTGGCAGGGGACGGCTAGTAATAATATAAAAATTATTGTGACGATGACGACGAGTTTTTTCCCTAGACAAACCTCGCTAAAAATGGGGTGCATCTCACAATCGCAAGTGTATCTCCTGCCTTTTCCCCTTATATAAACCTCTCTAAAAGGGGGGGTGCACCTTACAGTCTTTTTTGCAAGTGAAATAAGGGTGCCCCTTACACTCGATGGACGAAAAATGAGTCACCACCACCAAAACAACAATAATTCCGTCCTTTTGCAGGAAACATGTCCCTAAAAAGTGATGGTCAGTTTCTGAGCAAGACAAATGGTCACCTTTTGGAAAAACCCGAATGGGCTTTTCCCACCACTGTGGAGATTTCTCCCCGACTGGGAACCCCCCTTTTTAAAAACTTCGTTTGGGCGCCAAGGGCAGCTGCAGTTAGTCAGGTTACAGAGGGGACCCCCCCCCCCTTTTCCTCAAGCCTTGTCTCCTTTTCCCCACTTCGCGAGAAGAGGGGAGGATGCTTGCCTTGCCCCTTTCCTCCTTCCTCTCCGCGGAAGAAGCGGGCGAGTTTTCCTCCGATTGCCTTGGCTGCTCCAGTCCTTCCTTTCCCTTTGGCTGCCCCTCAAACCCGCCGCAAGCTCCAGTCCCCCGGTTTTCTCTGGAAAGGGAGGGGCGCCCCCTTTTCAGAGGGAACAGGCAGAACCTTCTCCTCCTCCTCCTCCCCACTTTGAGAGATCGGAAAGCGGCCCTTCCTCTCAATCCCTTTTCTCTCGATCTTGAGCCATTACTAGTCCTTCTCAGCCGGATCTACCGCATTATGTGCCCAGTGTAGATGCCGTTTCCACTGTCTTCAATCCCCACCGAGTCACACTGTCTCGGCCTCAAAAGCCAAACAGGTCGCAAAGAAACAAACCTTTGGGTTGTTGTAGGTTTTTCCGGGCTATATGGCCATGTTCTGAGGCAATTTTTCTCCTGACGTTTCGCCTGCATCTATGGCAAGCATCCTCAGAGGTATGCTTGCCATAGATGCAGGCATAATTTCAACTAAGAGTGAGGTCCTCACAACCTCTGAGGATGCTTGCCATAGATGCAGGCGAAACGTCAGGAGAAAATGCCTCTAGAACATGGCCATATAGCCCGGAAAAACCTACAACAACCCAGTGATTCCGGCCATGAAAGCCTTCGACAATACATTAAACAAACCTTTGTTAAATCGCAACAAACACAGAGGATCCGCAGTCCTGGCACATACACCCCTCGCGCTGGTGGGAACAGGAAACGCCGGGACACGCGTGGGATGTCCTGGATTATTTCTGCCTGGGATTGGGGCCTTTAAACCCGACTCCTCGCCTGCCTCTTTCGCTTCGGCTCAGGCGACCCTCCCCTCCCCTCTTTCTTCGGATTTTACTCCGTCCTCTTCTTCCTTGGCGAGTTTCCTGACACGAGAACTCTGCTTTTTTCTGCTTAACCTGCTTCCGGTTCGAAAAAGAGGAAGATCCGCTCCTGATGCGCTTCCAAAGTGTCCCAACTTTGAGTCTGGACCCCCGCCTGTCCGCCCACCCGCCCCCAATTCCTCTCTCTTGGTAGCCACGCCAAAACTCTTTTCTTGGTCTCTTTTCCAGGTTTTATTATTATTGTTATTATTCACAACATCACTGTGTTTCGTTCCAGTTTCTCATAACTTAAGGAAGGTGGGGGGGGGGGGAGGGGCGGGAAAGGGCAACTACATTTGAAATAAATTAATCCAACACAATCGGTGTGTATGGGAAGGGAGAAGGAAGTGGGGGAAAGAAGGAAGGAAGGAAGGAAGGAGAAGCGCACATTTCCAAAACAAAAAACAAGGCAGGCAGGCAAGCATCGGGAAAGGGAACCCAAGGGAATAGAAAGCCGGGCTTATTTCTTATATATATAAAAATAGAAAGATGGAGGCAAAGCGGAGGGGGAGGGGATGGATGGATGGATGCCCCTGAAGTCTCTTGGAGGGGGAAGAAAAGAAAAAGAAGGGAGGAAGGGACGCGGGAGAAAGGGAGAAGTAGCAGCAGTACCAACTGAACTGGGGTTTCTCGGTTTCTCTCTCCAAGGGGAAAAAAAAAGGGGGGGGAGGGCAGCGCTTTGAATCTCGTTGTGGGAGAAAAAGCGGAGTATAAATAAACACAAGAATAACCACGGTGAGGGCAAAAGAGAGAGGGGGCGGGCAGTCCTGGGCGGCGGGAAAGAGGCGCCTCCTTTGGTCCTGTCTCACAGTCAAAAGGCCGCAGCTGAGTTCCAGCCTTCCACGTCCGTACATACATACATACATACACTTTCAATATATTTATATATATATATCTATATATCTACAAAGTCCGGGCAGTCTGACGGGCGGAGGGGAACCTGGTGGGAGGGGTGCTGCCCTTCTTCGCGCCCCCCCCCCCTCTTCTCCCTCCCTCAGGGCCGGGCCTGCTCGAGCTGCTGGTGCTGGCTGCGGATGGCGAAGCGGCTGACGTGGACGGGGATGGGCACGACGATCTTGGGGTTGCGGGAGGGCTCGCCGGTCTTGGAGTTGGCGTTGCCGGCCTTGACGCGCTTCCACTTGGCGCGCCGGTTCTGGAACCAGATCTTGACCTGGACCTCGCTGAGCTTGAGCGCATGCGCGATCTGCGAGCGCTCCGTCAGCGAGAGGTACTTCTTGCAGTGGAACTCCTTCTCCAGCTCCAGCAGCTGCTCGCTGGTGAAGGCCGTCCGGCGGCGACGGTTCTTGCCCGTCGAGGAGGAGGAGGAGGACGAGGGGCCTCCCCCTCCGTGGGCCCCGTGGGGCGAGGGGCCCCCTTCCTCCAGGCCCAGCCCGGGGCCTTCCTCCTCCTTGGACCCCGACGCGGCCGGCGCCCCGTTGTCGTCGGAGCTGTAGTCCAGGTCGCTGTCCATGGAGAAGCTCTCCTCTTTGGAGCCCTTGGCCTCCTCCTCCAGCGCCAGCGCCGCCGCCTTGGCCTCCTCCTTCCCTCCGGGAGGGAGGCCCCGCACCGCGCCTGCAAAGGAAACGGGAAAGATGGAAGGAAAGAAGGGACACGGCAAGGGGTCACCTCTCCCCTCTCCGCCGCACCCAGGCACCCCTCCCCCGCGCCTCCCCCGCCCCATAGGCAAAACAAAGGAGTTTGTTTTGGAAGTTTCCCGGAAAATGAGGGGCAGCGCGCGCCTGACTTCCCCCTCCCTTAGTAAAGGTAGTCCCCTGACATTTAGTCCAGTCATGTCTGACTCTGGGGTGTGGTGCTCATCTCCATTTCTAAGCCGAAGAGCCAGCGCTGTCCGTAGACACCTCCAAGGTCATGTGGCCGGCATGACTGCATGGAGCCCCTCCCTTACGGGAACCCAAATATGTGAGATGAAGGCTGGATCTTCCCTGACATATATCCCAGGATCTGACAGTGTAGACACACATAGTCCAGTTCAGATCCGATCCTGGGATAAACGGGCTCAACGGGATCCCGCGGAGCTTCTCGAACAGGCATGGTCAAACCGGCCCTCCAGGTGTTTCAGACTTCAACTCCCACAATTCTGGGAGTTGAAGTCCAAAACATCTGGAGGGCTGAAGTTTGCCCGTGCCTGTTCGAGAAGGTGGTGGAAAGGGTTTGTGAGCCCTCCTAGAGGGTCCGTTGCAAGGCACTGCCTGGCCCCCAAATGGAGAAGAGTGGGGCAGAAGGAACGGGGAAGCGGCGTCACCGACGGGCTTTGCTCCGGCCCACAACAAACTCTGTGTGCGGGCGACTCTATGCCGGGGCCTGAGCTCCATGAGGAGGGCGAAAGGAAGTCCCGCAGCCCCCATCCCATCCTACCCGGGCCCTCCCTTGTCGGCTTGGGGCCAGCCTTTCACTGAATCGCAGAGTTGGAAGAGCCCACACGGGCCGTCTAGTCCAACCCCATTCTGCCAAGTACCCCTGTCAAGTGGCCTTTGGGGCCGGCACTCACCGAGAGAGGCCTGTAGCGCCTCGGAGGCGGCGGCGAAGGCCAGCAGGGAGCCCTCCTTGGCCAGGAAGGCCTTGCTGGCGTCCTCGCCCTCGCCCTGCCCGCCGCCACCGGCCTTCTCGAAGGGTCCCGGGGCGAACTTTCGGGCGGCGGCGTCCGGGTGCTGCTGCTGCTGCTGCTGCGGGTGCTGCTGCGGGGCGGCGGCGGCGGAGGCGAAGGCGGGGAGGGCGGCCATGAGGCTGGAGGTGAGCGCCATGCCCTGCGCCAGGCTGGAGCAGAAGCCCGAGGGCAGGCCGGGCAGCGCGTGCGAGGGGGGCGGCGGGGGCGGCGGCGGAGGGGGCGGCGGCGGGGGCGGGGGGAGCACCACGGGCCGGTAGGGCATGAACATGGGGTACCCCGTGTAGACGAAGTGTCCCGGGGAGGGCGGCGGGGGGCTCCCGATCAGAGAGTCTATGCTGAAGGCCGTGGCGGCGGCGCTGCTTCCCAGAGGGCGCGGCATCATCATGAGCGACGGCGGGAAGGCTGCACTCATAGAGGCGGCGGGAGTGGAGGCCGAGCGAGAGGCGTCAGGGCCCGGCTGTGGGCGAGGAAGGCGACGACGAGGAGGACGAGGAGGAAGAAGAAGAAGAGAGGGTCGTCGTCGGCGGGGTTCCTTCTCGGCCGCGGCCCGGAGGCATCGGGGCGGACTGTCCTGCGCCTGGATCCGGCCCCGAACGCGCCGCCTTCTCCTCCTCCGCGTGGCCTGCCGCCTTCCGCCGCGTCTCCTGTTGCCTGGCTGCTTCCTTCTTTCCTGGCTTCTTTCCTCCGCTCTTCCGCTGCTGGGCTGCTTGGCTCCCTCTCTCTTCTCTTCTCTCCTCTCCCCTCCTTCCTTCCTTCCCTCCCTCCCTCCTCCCGGGCGCCGGCTGGACCTTTGAATCGCGCTCCTCTTTCTCATTCACGTTTTGCCAGCCTTGGAACCTTCCCGCGGCCACGTGGGAGCCTTCCTCCTCCGCCATTGGCCCGCGGAGAGGGGGCGGGGCCTGGCGCGCACTCCAGGAGGAGGGGGAGGGGGCTCGCGTGTGCCCCTCCCTCCCTCCCTCCCTCTCTCTCCATGTCTTGCTCTTCCTTCCTTCCGTCCCTGGGGCCAAGAGGGGCGCGCGCTCCCTGGGGGGGGGGGGGGAGACAAACTGGGACTGGGCGCCCAGGCAGACGGAATTGGGGGTGCAAGGGCAGCGCCAAAGCCGAGCCCCCTCTCAACGGGGTCTTCTCTCCCCCGCCCCCAATAAACTCGACAGGTCCACCACGCTTTCGTGTCGGGGCCCACGCGTGGGCGGCTCTGCCCCGCTCCCAAGGAAGTGGATGGGTTCTCTGAAAAACAAACAAAACTCGCCCCACTTCTTTCTTTGAAGGTTGATTGGTGGCTTGGAGGACCCCTGAGTGTCCCGCGTCCTCACCGGCCTCCTTCGCTCTCAATCTGGGTTCGAACACCCCCTTAATTAACCCGTCTGCCTCGCCTTGGACCCCGTCTTCGCCACCAAGTTCCGGTTTCTGGGAGAGCGGTGTGGGAGGGGGGCCAGCCTACGGGCCCGGGGGCTTTATTCTCCCTCAGGCGGAGGCAGAGGGCACGGGGCCCCGTTCGGAGGAATCTCGCCGTGGAGCGTGGAGGTCTCCCCTTTGAGGAGGGGGAGGCGCCTGCTAACAAGATCACGATCAGAAAGAAAAGGGGGAGAGGGAGGGGGGTCGCTACATGGGTAATGGGGATTTCTTTACTCGCGTAGTTAATTGGAAAATAAAGGCCGGTCGATATTTATGAAGGTATCGATCCAACCTTTCTTCTCTTCTTCTCTCCTCCTCTTCTTCTCTCCCTTCCCAACCTTTACTCCTATCTCCTGACTCCTATCTCTCCACGGGGGATGCCTTACCCCCCCCCGCCCCCCAAAGTGCCCCGATATGACCTCTGGGCGGTCCTCCTCCCCCAGCAAACGTCTTCGAGAGATAAAACGCACCTCTACGTGGCGGCAAAGCGGCCAAGTGCTGGTCTGGGATGGGCTGGAGGGGGAGGGGAGGGGGTCATGGGAGTCGGACGTAATTCCGCTCCCGTTCCCGCTAAGGATCTTCCCTGCAGTTGATGACTCGCCCTCCCCGCCCCT